GGATGGGAGCGGGAATGTGGGATGGGAGCGGGAATGTGGGATGGGAGCGGGAATGTTGGATGGGAGCGGGAATGTGGGATGGGAGCTGGAATGTTGGATGGGAGCGGGAATGTGGGATGGGAGCTGGAATGTGGGATGGGAGCTGGAATGTGGGATGGGAGCGGGGTCCTGTGAGGGAGGGATGCAGGAGCAGCGGATGCTCCTGTGCCCTTTGCCCTCCCTCTGCCCACTCCTCTCGCTATCAGTCACTGGAGGGTTCCAAATGCTGCCAGAATTCCTTCTCCTGAGAGGCTTCCCTGCCCTTTTCTCTGGGACTGAGGGATTTCCTGTGGTGTCTCAGGATATGAGGGCACTAACCAGGCTCTGTTTCACCCCAGACCCTGTCCATGGCTTATCTCACTGCGATGCTCTCCAGGTGAGTTGGGAACTGTCCTGTGTCCTGTTCCTGAAAAAAATTCCCCATTTCCTGAGGTACCTGGGCCACCTGAGCTGTCTGGGGCTCCCAGCAGCCACACAAAGCTGGAGCTTCCCTGTGAAAACACTTTCTAAGGAAGTTTTCCAAGGCCTGTCCCTGTCCTGAGGGAGGCAGCACTGGGGGATTCCCTCATCCCAAATCCTGCCAGAGAGGCACGGAAGGCTGGGACAGGGCAGCACCTGCATGGGCTGGAGGGGACCACACAGTGATCCCACATTTCTCACTGGACATGTCCCAGGCAGGTGGGGCTGTAGTGAGCCAAGGAATTTTTTCCAGCAGTTTCAGGAATTTGTATCCCACAGCCTGTTGCCTCCTCCTTATTTGCACTGGGAAATCTGCTCCTGGCTCACGTGGATGCCTGGAGAGAGGGACATGATCCAGGGCGAGCGATGGATATACTGGGACAAAGAAATCTGCGGCCTCAGCAGCTCCAGGGGGAAAACTCCAGTGACTCCACACAAGTCCCCCCAGGGAGAGCAGGACTGGCTTTTCCAAGGGCTGAGCCTGGCACTGCAGCCAAAATCCTGCTGCAGCCTGGAAACCATTCCAGCCTGAGTCTGCAGCCTCTGTCCCTGCTGCAGTCCCTCCTTCCTGCCCTCTTCCAAAAGGCAGACTGGGCAGGAGCCCAGGGGCTGCTCCTTTGGTTTCCCCTCATGCTGTGGTGACTTTTGTCATCCTGGTTTTGGTACCTTCCAGTCAGGATCCTCCCCATTCCCTGTCTGTCCATGGACAGTGGGATTGGTGGATCTGGAGCCCACTGGCTCCAAGCTGCTCTGGGGCTCTGGGAGACCCTCCTGCCTTCCCTCCATCCTTCAAAACAGCAGGAAAACCCATCCAGGCTTTTTCTATCCTTCCTTTTTTAATATTAATGTGGAATATTGATAATTCCGCTGCTGTTTGTGCCTATAGGATTCATGCTTTCTTTGCCAAGCTCCTGCCTGTCTGAATCCCACCTTCCCATCCCTGTGGGAATGATCCAAATGTGGTTTTCCTGGTAATTTTGCAGTTACTACAACACCAAGTCAGTGCTGCTGTGCCTTGGGATCACTGCCCTGGTCTGTCTGTCCGTCACCATCTTCAGCTTCCAGAGCAAGGTGGGACTGTGGGAGCTTCCCTCGGGAAAGGGCACATCTGGGGCAGGACAGGGAGCTGGGGGGAGCTGGGAGTGTCTGGAGGGCTCTGGATCCAGGACCAACCCAAGGGACACGGGGATGTCACGAGAAGGTTGGAGTAGATCAGGACACGTGTTAGGGAGGGGTGGGATGTAAATGGGGCTGGAAGATGCTGATATATGGGAATAAAATGAGATGTTTTTTGTGGATTGGGATGTGCCATAGGTGTAAATGGGACTGGAAGATGCTGACATGTGGAAATATTCTGGGTTTTTGGAGGATAGGGATGTGTTAAGGATGTCAGTGGGGCTGGAGAGGCTGTATGGTGGCAAAGTGGGAATTTTGGAGGGTTGGGCTGTGGGATACAGGACACAAAGGTGTGTGATGGATTTGGAATTCCTGGCACATGGCAGGAGCTGAGCCCTTCCCTGTGGCACTAATGGGGATTTGGGAAGCGTTGGCTCTGTGGCTGCTGGGATGGAGAGGCAGAAGCAGCTCCGAGCGAGTTGCAGTGGGACTCGGAGCTCCGGCTGCCCCGGATGCAGTCCCTGGAACGGAACATTCCTCCCTTCTGTCCGCAGTTCGACTTCACCTCGTACCAGGGCGTTCTCTTCGTGCTGCTCATGGTGCTGTTCCTGGGGGGACTGGTCCTGGCTGTCATCCTGCCCTACCAATACGTGAGTGACCAACTGGGCCAAACTGGGCACACTGGAAGGGGGGCCCAGCTCCCAAAAAATGTGTGGGAACCCCCATGGGGGGATGGAAGAGAAGGGGTCATTCCCTGGGATGGACCATGGGCTACTGCTCAAGGATGGAACTGGCCCAGGGTTGAGGATGTTTCCTGCTATTCCTGGCAGTGGAGTCATGGAATGATTTAGGTCAGGAGGGAGCTGAAAGCCCACACAATCCCACCCCTGCCACCTCCCACTGTCCCAGGCTGCTCCAGCCTGGCCTTGGACACTCCCAGTGATCCAGGGACAGTCACAGCTGCTCTGGGAAATCCATTCCAGGGCCTCCCCAACCACACAGGGAGGAATTCTTTCCCAGTGTCCCATCCAACCCTGCCCTCAGGCAGGGGGAAGCCATTCCATGTCCTGTCCATCCATCCCTTGTCCCAAGTCCTTCTCCAGGTCTCCAGGAGCCCCTTTAGGCCCTGCAAGGGGCTCTGAGCTCTCCCTGGATCCTTCTCCTTTCCAGGTGAGCACCCCCAGCTCTCCTAGCCTGGCTCCAGCCCTCGGAGCAGCTCCATGGCCCCCTTTGGACCATTCCAACACATCTCTGCCCTTCCTGTGCTGCCCCCCTGGATGCAGATGGTGTCTCACCTGAGCACAGGTGCCTCTGCTCAGGCCTCAGTTTTCCCTCAGTAAGACCAGGGAAATGAACACATTAAACTCTGTCCCAAGTCCAGGGCAGGACTTGGACTCAGGACTAACACTTGGCACCTGCAGAGCTCAGTTTCTCAGCAATCACCCTGAGGTCTGAGTGACCCTCAGGAGTCAAGTCCATGGGGACAGTGACCCTCCTGTGTGTCCCCAAGGCCTGCCAACCCCTTGCACAGCTGCAGCCCCTTCCTTTGGCCTCTCCAGCCACTCCTGGCCCCAGCTGTGCCCAGGGGAAATTTTGGAACAGCTTCCAAGCATGCCGGAGCAGGGCTGGGCTGCATCCAAGGGTGTCTCACCCTGGGAGGCGTCACTCCCAGAGAGCCTGGCAGCCCCTGGGACACAGGGATGGATGAGGGAAGTGGGGTGGGGCCAGGCAGGTGCCATAAATCACCTGAGAGGCTACTGGGATCTCAAATCCCTCTCCATCCCAGCCAGCTCCTCTGCCCTGGGTCATTCCCTAAGGGAGACCTCCAGGAGATTCCCACTGTTCACAGCCCTGGAGTTGGTGCTGGACAAATCCAGCCTGGGGATTCCAAAGGTTTGGATTTTGGCTGTCTGGGCTTGAGCTTCTCCTCTTCCCTGTGGGAATGTGAGGCTGCAGCAGCTCCCAGTGCCAAAGCACAGCCATGAACTGGAGAGACAGCTCCTCCTTGAGATAAGCACAGTCGAAGGCAGCATGGGAATGAGCCTGGGAGGCAGGAGGTGACTCTGCAGAGGCAGCAGAAATCTCTGGAGCAGCATAGACAGTCCTGGCTTCATTGCACCCATCTCAGGTTGAACCAGTACCTTATCCTGGTTCCTCTGGGCCACAGCAGGGGCTGAACTTTGGTCCCAATTCCAGTGAAATTCCCCCTGTGACTCCCACAGATGAATATATTTAAATTGTGCTTGTTAATTAATCACAGAATCATGGAACATCCTAAGAAGGAAGGGACCCACCAGGGTCATCCAGTCCAACTTCTGTCCCTGCTCAGGACATCCCAACAATCCTACCTTGTGCCTGGGCATTGTCCAAACGCTCCTGGAGCTCTGGCAGCCCTGGGGAGCTGCTCCAGTGGGGGAAGAACCTTTTCCCAATATCCAACCCAAACCTCCCCTGACACAGGTCCAGCTGTTCCCTCAGGCAAATTAGAGCTGCGTCTGACTCTTGGAATATCTGGTGTTTCTTCCAGTGGGATCAGCCGTGTTTGGGTAAATAAATCCAAAGTGTTCCCATCAGGAGAGTTCCAGGATTGAGACACATGGTTGCCCCACCCCTGGAAGCGTCCAAGGCCAGGTTGGATGGGCTTGGAGCAGCCTGGGATAGTGGGAGGTGTCCCTGCCCCATGGCAGGGGTGGGACTGGATGGGCTTTAAGGTCCCTTCCAACCCAAACCATTCCATGATTTCCACAGGACAGTCACTGGGGCCCAGTGCTGTTTGGAATAACAAACACCTGATGGAGAAGTTGAGGAGCCAAATGGATACAAAGGCCTCAGAGAAGGAGGAACTGAGGCCCCGTGTCCTGTTTTGTGCCATAGAAACATTCCCAAAGAAACTGTTGAAGTTGGAAGTGCTGCAAATCAGGCCTGGGCTTTTAAAGCACTTTCCCAACTTTCCCTCTCCACCTGGAAGCCAAATACCTTGGGAGTGAAGTCCTGTGTGGTCCATTCTGTCCAGCTCTGACAGCTGTGTCCATGTGTCCCCTGACCATGTCCGTGTGTTCCCACCCGTGTCCGTTTCAATGTCCCCGTGTCCGTGTCCTTCAGGTGCCGTGGCTCCACGCGATCTACGCTCTGCTCGGGGCTGGGATCTTCACCATGGTGAGTGGCTGTTCCTGGGATCCAGCAGGGAAAACAGACGGTTGGGAAAGGAGCTTGGAGCCTTGCAGAGAGCTTGGGGCAGGGATTGGTCCCAGAGCAGCGATCCCAGTGGGAATGGATCCTGGCAGGGGAGGTGCTGCAGTCATACCGCTGCCAGTGCAGGGCATGGTGTGAGTCCCAAGCTGTGTGGGGTGAGCAATCCCAGCTGGATTGCTCTGCAGGGATTGTGGGGACAGGCCAAAGACGCCTCTGGAGAGGAGGAGGCAGAGCTGAGCTTGGCATAGCCCCAGAGCAAGGGGATCCAGGGATGAGGCCACATGGTGGAGTTGGGGCTGGCTGGGTGAGAGTGAGCCAAGGATTGGGAGTTTGGCTCACAGAGGTGCAGAAAGATAGGGAACGCTGAGGCTGGGGATTAAGAGGCATTAGGAAGGTTTACACAAGTGGGAAAAGCCCTGGATCCTCCAAGGAAAGGCTTGGTGGTCCCTCCGCAGACCAGAGCTCCAGAGCAAGTCCTGGCAGTGCTGTGCTGAGATTCAGCTGGGGGAGGTGTCTGGGGAGGTTCCCTGGAGCCTGGGACCTGGGGCTGCCCTGGGCTCCGAGGCAGTGCCCATTGGGCACGTTGGGCATCGGAGCAGTTTTATCACCCATAAAAGTCACTCCAAGGGAGCTCGGGGAGCTTGATGCTGATTCACAGCTCAAGATCCCTCTGTAAAATACAAGGAGGCTTCAACATCTGATAATTACCCCATAAACATCAGTCAGAGCCTTGGCCTGGCCCTGCCAGGGCAGCTCAGCTGGGATTTGTTCTGGGGGGATAAAACAGCATCTCCTGGAGGATGGTGCAGCCCTGGAGAGCTCTGGATGGCAGGAGGAGGAAAGGGAGGGAGGAGAAAATGGTGGATTGCAGTCATGCCTGGGATTTCTGGTGGTGCTGCTCCATGTCCTGTTGGGGCCAGGTCACCCTGTGACCACCTCGTTCCCTGGCAGGTGTTTCCCACCTGGGGAAAGTGTGGGAATAACAAGCTGTGGGCTCTGGGAGAGGAGGAGGGGGGAGAGCTGGCCTTGGGATGGAGGAAGCCTGAGGGAGGAGGGCCTGGAGTGGGAGTTACACTCGGGGTTTGATTATCAATAAGGGAAATGAGGGAAGGGGAAAGTCGCAGCTCATTCAGTGCCTTGTTCTGAACTCTTAAATTGTGGTTACAGCCCATAAAAAGGGGCTGCACTTTTGTCCTGGGTCCAGGGAGGCAGCAGGGACTTCTCCTGTCATTAGAACCCTTCTTACATCCCTGGGCCAAACCTCCCTGTCACTGTCACAGGGTTTCCTCCTTTTCCTTCCAGTTCCTGGCCCTGGACACGCAGATGCTGATGGGGAACCGCCGGTACTCGCTGAGCCCTGAGGAATACATCTTTGGAGCCCTCAATATCTACCTGGACATCATCTACATTTTCTCCTTCTTCCTGCAGTTCTTTGGCTCCAGCCAGGAGTGAGGGCAGCAGGGCAGGATCCTCCCTGTGCTGGCAAATGTGAGGGGTTAAATTGAAAAGCAGAGGTGAAAGGGTTCAAAACTGCCAATCTGACCCAATCCCTCCCTTTCTGGTCCATCCAATGCACCGAGGAGCCCCAGGCCCCTCCTGCAGTTTTGTACATTTGCTGTCAGGCCTTTGTGACCCAGAGAGCAAAGCAGGGCTTCAGTGTCATGTCCCTTCTGCTCCCCCCACTCCTGCCCAGCCCAAACCAGTCCTGAGACTCGGGGTAGGAGACCAGGACCTTCCTGGCCCCAGGAGCTGCTGGAGGTGCCCTCTGAGTCTTGCCCATCAGGGGTGAAAGTGCTGTGAAAAAAAAAACAATGAGGGCAGAGCAGGGAATTTGGTTCGATCCTGGCAGGAAAAGCAGCTGAGCCACGGGAAAAGCCTTGGGGAATCCTTGCATTGCCCTGTTTCCTACATTCCTTTGGAGCTTGGTGGCCTCTGCGCTATTCCTGGTGGCTCCCGCTGTTGGAACCGTGAAGTGTGGGATCACATAGCTGGATTTCAGTGCTCCAGGTACAGGGAAACTGTTTGTTCAGGACATGCAGCTCTCTGAGGTCATCCCTGGTGCCACTGCAGGAAGTATTCCCCTGGATCCCTTGCATCCAGCTGTGGAGCTGAGCCCCTTCCTTTCCCTTTCCCTTTCCCTTTCCCTTTCCCTTTCCCTTTCCCTTTCCCTTTCCCTTTCCCTTTCCCTTTCCCTTTCCCTTTCCCTTTCCCTTTCCCTTTCCCTTTCCCTTTCCCTTTCCCTTTCCCCACGGGAATGTGCTGGTTCTCTTTGGAGTGTGGCTCCTCACCAGAGGGGCTGGGATCCCAGGGAAGGAATATTGCCAGGAAACGGCAGAGAAGAGATGGAGGAGGCTGAGTTTCCATGCTGAGAAATGCCATTCCATGTGGGAAATGGGCTGGCATCCTGTGACCCACCCTAAGGATCTGACACCTTCACAGAATTGTCTTGGCTGCTCCAAATTAGTGTTCCTAAGGGGTCGTTCCCAGGGACTGAGGCCATTGGAACACCAATGTTCCCTCTCCCCGGCTGTTTTTCACTTCTCCTCTCCCGAACAGGGATGTCAGCATGGGCTCTGGATGTGCTCAGGTAACTTTCCACCGTGGCCATGCTCACATTCCCTGTTTGGGGCTCAGCTGGCTGATCTGGGACTGTAAAGCTCCCCAGGGAGATAAGGGGCCTTTTGCTCTCATTCCAAGAGTGATCCTTCCTGTAGATAGGACCTCGTATCTCCCATCTCGCTGGGAATGCTGGGCGAGTGCGTCACAGAGCTGCCTCCAGCAATCCCTGCCGGAGAGAGGCTCTGCCAGAACGCTGGGACGGCACATTCCTGCTCCTTCTGCCCTGAGTTTTACCCCGCACATGCCCTGTCCTCCTGCCACACGTGTCCAAGATCCAGGGAAAGTTATTGTGCAGGGAATGGAAATGCCCCAGCCCCTCTGTGGCTGTGCTGATGAGCACAAGTGATGCCTTCCCCTTACTTTCATCCCCAAAACACTCCCAAAAAACCCCAACCAGACAAAAAACCCCAACCAGACCAAAAAACCCCAACCAGACCAAAAACCCCAACCAGACAAAAAACCCCAACAAGACAAAAAACCCCAACCAGACCAAAAACCCCAACCAGACAAAAAACCCCAACCAGACCAAAAAACCCAAACCAGACCAAAAACCCCAACCAGATCAAAAAAACCCAACCAGACAAATACCCCAACAAGACAAAAAACCCCAACCAGACCAAAAACCCCAACCAGACAAAAGAACCCCAACCAGACCAAAAAACTCCAATCAGACCAAAAAACCCCCACCAAAGACAAATTCGTTGTAGGGATGAAGGACACCATGAGGTGATGCCAGCAGGAAGTTAATGCCCTGCTGGTTCCTGCTGAGGAGAACCAAATCCTTGGACTGCTGAGCAGGCAGGACTGGGAATGGTGTGGGAGGCACACTAAAAGTGGATGAAATGAGAGTTTCAAGAGGGAATTTCCTGGCCCTCAGCAGACTGGCTGGGAAGCCTTTCCTTGCTCACAGCTGTTTTGTGCAGGGATTTGTGCTTTCCAGGCTTGGAGGGAGGAGTGTGGAGCCCCATGATGAGCTCTGGCTCTGAAATAGTCCCAAAACTCCTCCAAAATGCCCTGCTGGGGGCTGGGGAGGAGCACATGGAACCTGCAGCCCGCTCTGGAATTGCTCTTTTTCCTTCTGGTGTGGAGTAACTTTCTTGCTGCTGCATCCTGGCTTTTCTGCTGCTGCATCCTAGCTTTCTGCTGATATATCCTGGCTTTCTGCTGATATATCCTGGCTTTCTGCTGATATACCCTGGCTTTTCTGCTCCTGTTGGGAACACCTGGCATGACCCCACTCCAGGCACCTGGGTGGGGGGAACTTGCTGCCCCCCTTTGTCCCTTGCATGTGTCCTGGTCTATTTTCCACACTGATCCCATCCCAGCCAGCTCTGATGGATACTGAGCACTGTACCTCTCAGGGAGCTGGAGTTCCTCGGGAGGCTGAGGAAAGCAGGGGCTGGGGTGGGATATGGAGGGCTGCCCTCCACCCAAAGTCCTCACCCAGCTCCGTATCCAAATCCTTTGGAGTGGTCATTCCTATGATTTCACTGTAAATAGGATTTTGTATCTTCTCTGACTATTGCTAATAAATGATTGCAAAACTGTTTCTGTGCCTGTTCCAGCTCTGGTTGTGCAGGTGCTGCTTCATCCCTTAAAATATAAAGAAGATCCTGGCATGGTCCAAAGGTTTAATGGAGCCCAGGTCACCTCTTCTCTGGTTATGAGTGAGGAAAACATCCCCCACAGAGCAATGAAAAGCCAAAGGGCTCCTGGAATGAGGGATTTGCTCCCTTTCCCACTTGGTTTATGTGACAACAGGATTCAAAAATCAGTGAATTGAAAAATCAGGGATAAGTTGTGAGAGGGCTCCAGCTCCAAGGAAATTTTCTGCAGTGCTGGAGAGCAGACGGAGCTTTCACAAGAGTAAATGGAGGAAAAAAATTCCTCCAGGGACAAGTGAACCACTCGAAATGAGAACCTGCACTGGGAGATGTAAACTCCCTTCTCACTCCATCAGCTCTGAAGGGATGATTGTCCAGGAATAGAAATCCCAATGCAGCATGTCTGTGCTTTTGGGAAGGAGTCAAACCCAAAATGTGGAAATTTGATTGCTGGGAAGTGATGCTGAACAGCCTGTGCCGGAGGGCAGGGATGGACGGGATATTGGGAAGGAATTCCTGGCTGGGAGGGCGGGCAGGCCCTGGAATGGATTTCCCAGAGCAGCTGGTGCCCCATCCCTGGAAGTGTCCAAGGCCAGGCTGGACAGGGCTTGGAGCAGCCTGGGACAGTGGGAGGTGTCCCTGCCCACGGCATAGCATGGCATGGAACGGATTTTAAGGTCCTTTTCCACCCAAACCATTTAGTGATTCCATGAAAATAAAGAAGGGCCGATCCAGGGAGCAGGCGGCTTTCACCTGCATTCGTGAGCTCCAGGCGCCCTCTGCTCTTCACGCTGTGGGTGAAAGCAGCAATAAAAGAAATCCTGTGCCAGCCTGACCCTAAAGCTGTGCCAGGGCCCTGAACCTCCCTCTGCCCTTAAACCCGCCTTGAACAGGGAACTTTCATTTCCTTCTGCTTTCAAACCTCTCTCAGCTGCAGCCTGTGGGGTCCTGGGCATCCCAGTGCAATCAGGTATTTATATGTAATTTAAACAACACTTATTTGTTATGCATGTGTATAGCATTTGCATGGTATTTATTTTATAACATCGGTTTTTATTATTTAAATATACTTTCAATAACGTTGATATAAGTAGCATTTATATGCTAGTTATTTGAACAAAATGAATGTTTTATATGATAAAATATGATTTTTATGTTAAGTAACAGGTACATGTTATTTTAACAGCCGAACGCCGCCAAGGCCTGAGCCCCCGCTGGGGCGGCGGCGTCGCCATGGCAACGCGGGGGGGAAGCGTTCAAAGGGGACACGAGTGGTCGGCGCTGTCCCTCTGCAGCCTGGCAGGGCCCAGACAGGCTTCTTTACACCAAATATCTCAAATCTCTTCTTTTCACCCCAAAGGGGCTGTGGCTGCGCTGGTGGCGCTGTCCCTTGTCGCTATCCCTGCCCCGCGTCGCCCTCCTCGGAATATTTCTGCCTCGGAACGTTTCTCTTCAGTTGCGGTTTCCGCCCGGCGCGTGGGAACAGCGGGAAAATGGCGGCGCCCATGAGGCGGGGGAGCCGCGGCCCCGAGCCCGGCGCGGCTCCCTACGGGAACTTCCCGAATTATTCCCGGTTCCACCCGCCCGAGGGGCGCGTCAGCCTCCTGCCCCAAGGGCTCCTGTGCAGCCTCTTCCCCGCGGCCACCCGCCCGCTTCTCGGGCTCGATGTGGGCTGCAATTCTGGGGTGAGGGGGCGGCACGCGGGCGGGTTTGGGGCGCCTGGGGGGAAAAGGGTGGGGGAAACTGGGAAGGCACCGGTTTGGGGTACTGGGGACACTGGGGCAGACTGGGAAGCCGTGGTGTGGGGTACCCGGGGACGTTGGTACAGGCTGGAGGACACCAGTGTGGGGTAGTGGGGAATACTGGGAGGCACTGGTGAAGGACACTGGACACACTGGGGCAGATCGGCTGTCCCCTGGTACTGGGGGCACTGGGACAGACTGGGGGGCACTGGGGAACAATCCAGCCCATGGAAAAGGCTCTGGATGAAACGCTGGTCTGGGGTGGTGCAGGCTGGGAACTCTGGTGGGGAACAAAGGAGGGTGGTGGGAGAAACTGGGAATACTGGGAAAGGCAGGGGTCTGGGGGGGATGGAGGAGCCGAGGGAGGCAGATGGGAACGGTGGGGGAGCACTGGGAGAGATGGGGAGGACTGGGGCAGGCAGTGCTGAGGGTGTTGGAGGGAGGACTGGGAACGATGGGACGGTCGCTCCCCTGGCACGCTGGGAGGAGAGACGGGAATACTGGGAATAAACACGGTCCTGGATGTGTTAAATCTCTCCGGGAGTGTGCACCCCCCCCTCTGTCCTAGATAGCCCTTTCCTCTCCATGAAGAATTTTCCCTAAAATCGAACCTAAACTTCTGGAATTGGTTCCTCTCATTCTGTTCCTGGAAGCAGATCCCAATGTCTCCTAGCTCCACCTTCTGTCCAGGTTGGAGAGCGAGGAGGTCCCACATGAGACTCCCAGCTCTCTCAGGGATTTTCCAGCTCTGACTGGTGCTCCACTCCTTTCCCAGCTCCATTCCCAGTTCCAGACACGTTCCAGCCCCTCAGAGGCCTGCCTTGGATCCAGGTGTGGTCTCACCTGGCCCAGCACAGGTGAATTATTGATCTCACCTGAAACCCACCCTGACTGGGACAGTCGTGCTGTTCCCAGGGTTTGGAATTCCCCCTGAAGCATCACCTAAAGGACAATTCCAGATCCCATTCCAGGTGAGCCTGTGGAGCAGGTCAGTGGCAGGCAACTGTCACCACCAGAGGACATTCCCAGCCTGTCCTGTGCCTGCAGCTCCAGGAGCTCCATGGAATCTCCTTTAATTAAGGATTCATTCACTTTCCATCAGTATCCACTGTGGAAAGAGATTCCAGGAACAATGGGGACCTGGAATTCCGGGGTCTTGGAGCGACCTGGTCTGGTGAAAAGTGTCCCATGGCAGGGCTGGGATGAGCTGAGCTCTTCCAGCCCAGATCATTCCATGATTCCCTGGTTTTTGGAGCAGGCCCTTGGTGTTGGGGATCCAGGCTCCACTCCAGGTGCTCAGGGCTCCCAGGACAGGTCTGCTGATCTTGGTCAGATTTTCCTTTGGACACCCATGGAGAGGAAGCTCTGGGGAGGTCTCCCTGAATCCCTGCTTTCCTCCCACAGGAGCTGAGTGTGGCTCTGTACCAGCACCTCCTGGGGCTCCAGGACAGCAATTCCAGCCCGGAGCCAGTGGGAGCCAGGAAGGAGCTGAAGCTGCTGTGCTGTGACATCGATCCCGAGCTGATCCAGAAGGCCCAGCAGAGCAGCCCCTTCCCTGCCTCCATCTCCTTTGCCAACCTGGACTTCATGGATTCCGGGGCCAGGGAGCCATTCCTGAGCTCCTACCTGGAGCGCTTCGGCCGCTCCTCCTTTGACATCGGCTTCTGCATGTCTGTGACCATGTGGATCCACCTGAACCACGGGGACAGGGGCCTGCTGGAATTCCTGGCCCTCCTGGCCTCCCTGTGCACGTTCCTGCTGGTGGAGCCGCAGCCCTGGAGGTGTTACCGGGCGGCCGCGCGCCGGCTCCGGAGGCTGGGCCGGGACGACTTCGAGCACTTCCGATCCCTCCAGATCAACGGGAACATGGCCGAGAGCATCACCCGCATCCTGACGCAGGAATGTGCCATGGAGCTCGTCTGCTGCTTTGGGAGCACCAGCTGGGACAGGAGCCTCCTGCTCTTCAAATCCACCAGTGCCCATCCTGAGGGCTCCGACTGAGGAAAAGCCTTGCACATCCATGGATTCGTGGGCAAGGAGGCAGATCTGGGAATTCCTAAATCTCTGTTGGGACCAGGCCTTGACTTCCCACGGAAATCCAAGGCAAGGAATGTCTGTGACTGATCTTTTGGGACAGTTTTAACCGGCTTTGTGAGGTTGTTCAAGGAAGTGCTCCTGGAATCCAAGTTCCTACATGTGCTTTTCATGTGTATCAAGAATATTCCCTGGAATAACAGGGAATATGCCCAAGGAAATGTAGAATGTCCTGGTTGAAGTGGCTTCACAAGTCCACTTGAGTCCAGCCCCTGGCCCTGCACAGGATATCCCAAAAAAACCCCACTAATCCCAAAATCCTGATGCCCAAGTTGTCCAGACATTCCCAGACCTCCAGAATCGTAGAATATCCAGAGCTGAAAGGGACCTATCACAGAGTCATGGAACATCTGGAGTTGGAAGGGACCCACCTGGATCATTGAGTCCAACCCCTGGCCCCGCACAAGACATCCCAAAATCCCACCCAGTGCCTGAGGGTGTTGTCCAAGCACTCCCTGACCTCCAGAATTATGGAATAATCAGAGTTGAAAGGGACCCACAAGGATCATGGAATCATGGAGTACCCTTAGTTGGAAGAGACCTCCAAGAATCGTCAGCTACAACTCTTGGCCCAGGACAACTCAAAAATCCCACTGATCCCAAAATCCCAGCACCCTGAGCTCTGGCTTCTTGGGGCTGTCACTATTCCCTGGGGAGCTGTTCCAGTGCCTGATACCCTGTGGATGAGGAACCTTTTCCCAAAATCCACCCAAAACTTCTCCCAGGACTCAGGTGAGGCACCTGCAGGACAATCCCCTCCCTGGACCCAGCACTCCTGGCTCCACTCTCCTGGGACAGGGATTCATCCCAAACAGTGCTTTTGGGAATAATATGCTTGAAATAAAAATCATAGAATTTTATCCTAAATTCTGTGTTGGGGTTTTTAATCCGTTTTAATCTGTTTTTATTCCCATTCCTTTCAGCACCTGAGGGGTGCCAGGGAACCGAGCTGGTAATTCTGACGTACTCCCACTTTTCCTTGCTCCGATGGGAGCAAGGGGAGCCCAGGGGTGTCCCCAGCCTTGTTCTAGGTCAGCTCCATTCCAGAGGGAGAGGAGGTGTCACCTCCAGGAGGTGGTGCTCGTGTGTCGCTGCTGCTGCCCAGAACAGGGACATGGGAAAACCTGGATGGATTCGTCTTTGTCCGTACTGGGAATTCCTTGTTTCCTCCCACGGGGAGAGTGTAGGGGGAAAAGCAAATGTGTGGATCAGTCTGAGGAAGGAAAACTTTGGAGCCCCTTCCAGGAGCGGGGTTTAGGACAAGGGATGGAGGGACAGGACACAAGGAATGGCTCCCCAGTGCCAGAGGGCAGGGGTGGATGGGATATTGGGAAGGAATTCCTGGCTGTGAGGGTGGGCAGGCCCTGGAATGGATTTTCCAGAGAAGCTGTGGCCCCATCCCTGGAAGTGTCCAAGGCCAGGCTGGACAGGGTTTGGAGCAGCCTGGGACAGTGGGAGGTGTCCCTGGCCATGGCAGGGATGGGATGGGGTGTCATAGATTTTAAGGTCCCTTTCCACCCAAACCATTCCATGATTCTGGGTGTTTGAGGATGCTGAGCAGGGTTCCAGGAAAACTTTGAGGCCCTTCCCATAAATGCAACTTCCACAGGGATTCTTCAGCTCCTCCAGCACGTGAATCCCTTTGGGAACTGAGCAGCTCCTTACCATTCCAGGAGCTCTGGGGAAGCTCTGCCGACTCCAGGGGTGTCACCCATCCCGTGTTTTCCTCCCTTTCCTCCTGCTCAGCTGCTCTTTCCCAGCTGCTGGGGGCACTGGAGGATCATGCATTCCACACCCTTCCCTCCTGGAATGTTTCCCTTGCCTTGTGTCAATATTTGGTGCTGTTTTCTTTCTCCTTTGAAATGGTTCTGAACTAAGCCCGGCCCTGTCCCTGCTCCCAGTTAAAGGGGGAAAGAATTTCTGCCTTTCTTTCTGTTTTGAGGATTTTTGTGCTTCCCTGTGAAAAATTCTAGGAAGAGTTGCTAGGAAGGTGCATCCCAAATTGTTGTCCCTGCACCTGACTGGTAGGATCTTTTCCTTCAGAGAGACCCTTGGTTCATGTTCCTTATTTCCTGGGAATCCTCCCAGGATGTGCCTGGGGAATCTTCCTGGGCTGCTGCTTGAGGGAGGAGTGTGGGTTGGAGTTGATAGTTCCTATTTTTCCAGCTTTTCCATGCTGTCCATGCCTAGTGTGTCTGTAACTGCCTGATGGCTCCTTATCTCTCATTCCTTTGGAATGAGAGAACTTGGAACTCTCTCATGGACTTTGGAATTGCTGATATGGCTCTGGAATGGCCCAGCTCCAGAATTTCCCCTGATTGGCTTTGGCACAACCAAATCCTTTGGTTTTTGCCACAAATGCATCTCAGAATGGTCTAAGCAAGTCCCCGTGCTCAGCCTGGAGAAAAGGAGGCTTAGGGGGACCCTCTCCCTCTCCCAAATTCCCTGACAGCACAGTGGAGTGCAGGGAGGGGGATTTGGGATATGCTACCAGGGAACAAGGTAAAAACGGCCTCAAGTTTCACCAGGGGAAGTTTGGGTTGGATATTGACAAAATTCCTTCATGGAAAGGGTTGTAAAGCACTGGAAGGTGCTGCCTGGGGAAGTGGGAGAGTCCCCATCCCTGGGAATGTCCAAGAAAAGAGTGGATGTGGCACTTGGAGACATGGTCAGGGATGGCCAAGGCAGTGCTGTGATGATGGTTGGACTTAATAATCTCTGAGGGCTTTTCCAAGCTGAACAATTCTGTGGTTCTGTGATCCCAGGATACTGCAGAGCTCAAGATGGAGTCAGTCCTTCAGCAAAGAGGAGGAAAGATCACTTTCATTTTCCTTTCAGCTCTGTGCTCCTGCTGTCCAGGAAGGTGTTGGGACTGGAGAGGTGGGAACAGCTCTGGGATACAGCGATGGGAGAGCCTGGAGGAGATCCCATGGATCCCAGCTGCAATAAGGATCTGGAGAATTTTAACACACTGCATTTCCCATGTGGGTAAAATGTGTTCCCAGTTTTCCTGAGGGTGGGACAGAGGGAAATTCCAGCTGGGGGTTAAACCCACATCTGCTTCTGGGACAGCAGCAAAGCTCTGCAGTCATTCCTCATGGAGAAGAAATGGTCATGGGGAGATGGAGATCCTGGAGTCAGGGAATGGTTTGGGTGGGGACTCCAAATATTTTCCCATCCCATCCCTGCCATGAGTAGGGACAGCTCCCACTATCCCAGGCTGCTCCAAGCCCCATCCAGCCTGGCCCTGGACACTTTGCAGGGATAGGGCAGCCCCAGCTGCTCTGGGTAACCTGACTTGGTTTCCTTGAGGAACCCCTGGGCTTGGTCACCCTGGTGGGATTCAGGATACCTGGAGTAGGGCAGGGGATGGGCCTGCCAGGGGTGGTTGCTGCTGCTGAGGGAGCTGGAACTTCTCTGAGTGTGCAGAGCTCCCCTGGAGCATCTGGCTGTACATAAGGAAGCTCCTGAGCTTTGGGATTGTTCCTGGCCTCCAGTTTGCCTCAGTTTTTCCATCCCCAAAATGGGTTTGATTCCCTGATAAGGAATCTTGCCTGTGTGATTGCGCAGCATTTTTGGGATGGAAGACCTGAGGAGCTGAGCTGGAGCCTGGGCTCAGAGCTGTCCCCTGTTCCCAAGAATCCCTGCAGGGATTAATTAGTCCCCCTGCCAAGTGCTGGGACTCATTAAGCCTCCCCTCTGCTGTGGGAGGTCACTCTTCCCTTCCTTGCAGGGAAAAATTGAGGCAGGGGAGCTGAAGCATCAAAACTCAGACATTGGAGCTTCCACTTTCCAGGTGGTTCTGCAGGTGCTTCCAGCCTTTGAAGGAAGCAGGACTGGGTTGGAGTCAATGAGATCCTTTTTTATTTTTATTTTGGATTTCTCTTTACTGTCACTCCTGTGACACTCAATGTCACTTCCCCTAAGGGACACTTTGCTGTCTCCCAGATTCCTGGGCTGGGTGAATACAAAGGACACATTCCCAGGGAAAAATGGAGTGTGGAACTCTAGGGCCCAGGCAGGAACTGGAGAGTGGCCAGAGGAAACAACCTGAGAGCACCAAATGTCCTGGGGCTGCTCCCTTCCCCATCAGGAGCTTCCTGACACAGCTGGAGAGGGAGTCCCCAGCCCTGGGGGGATTTCACAGCTGTGTGGATGGTCAGGGGTGGTCGTGGCCATGCTGGGGGATGGTTGGACTCCGTGATCTCAGAGGGCTGTTCCAACCCAAGCTATTCCATGATTCTGTGCTCATTGTGCCATTTCCATGGCTGTTTTTTCTGAGCCCTCGGAGCAGAAGAATTCTTCAGACTCCTGAACTCAGCTGTGATTCCTTCCCATTCCCCCACCCCTGGCCCTGGAAGGGATGATTCCCCCCAGCAGCAGCCCCTTTCCCAGAGCTCATCCAGATTTTCATTCTCTACTTCCCAAATTTACCACATTCAGAAGTTTCTGCGAGTTCCCCCTTCCTAGAATTGGGTTGGACTTTAGCAAATGGAATTGCATTTCCTCAAAGGGAATCTCCAAACCAGAGGTGGATCATATCAATAAAAGGCTTTCTTGAAGAGTTTGTTCAGCTGTTTGGCTTTGATGCTGAGGGATGGGCAGCTCCCACCCCTGGGAATTCCTGGCTGGGAAAACGAAGGATAATTCTGTCAATGTTAAATCATGGCTGCCCCATCCCTGGTGGTGTCCAAGGCCAGGTTGGACAGGGCTTGGAGCAGCCTGGGATAGTGGGAGGTGTCCCTGTCCATGGCAGGGGTGGGATGGGGTGTGATGGATTTTAGGGTTGGGACTGGGTGGGCTTTGATGCCTCTTCCCACCTAGTCCATTCCATGATTTCTACCTGAGGATATGGCAAAAAATGGATTAGTTCAACTTCCAGTTTAATCCAAGCAGCCCAGGAGCGGAGGGACACCCTTTGGGAGCTGGGAGTTGTCAGCAGCTTCCTAGGCCAGGAACTTGTCTCTGCAGGTCCCAGGGCAGAGGTTTGGACTCCCTTGGCTCAGCTCAGGGCAGGTTCCTTCTTGCTCCTCCTGTCACTTTGGAATTACAGGAGAAAAGGGAGAGGTGGCAACATGTGGAAATCTGGGAATCTGATTCTGGAGAGCTGGGAAAAGAGCAGTCCCAACTCAGACACACTTTGGGAGTTTGGCTTTTCCCTCCCAGTGTCACCAGTTCTGGGGCAAAGGTTGGACTGGGGAGGTGAACTGGAGAGGGAGCAGAGCCCTGGTGGGATCTTGGTGGGAAAGCCAACCACAAATCCAAGGGTGAGGCTGGGGTCATTTGTCCAGAGCAGCTGTGGCTGCCCCATCCCTGGCAGTGCCCAAGGCCAGGTTGGATGGGGCTGGAAGCAGCCTGGGACAGTGGGAGGTGTCCCTGCCCATGGCAGGGGGTGGAATGGGATGGATTTTAAGGTCCCTTCCCACCCAAACCATTCCAGGATTCCCTGACATGCTGTGGGCAGGTCCTGCTCCATTGGGTTACAAACAAGGAGAATTTGACTGTTCCCTTCCTTGGTCTGTCAGTTCTGGAGTTGGAAGTGCCTTGGCCATGGGCCCTTGGGTTTAATTTCCAGTGGGAAGGGTTCCTTGGTGTTTCCAAGGCTTTATCCTCCCTGGTCCTGGAGGAGAAGCTGGCACATCGTGGAAACCTCTCACTGAGCTCCTCAATCCCTCTCTGGGATTTCATTTCAACACCTCAGGTTTCCCATTTTATTCACTTATGGAACAAAGTGAGACACGTTTTTGTTTTCTCCCTTACACAGAAGTCCCTTGGATCATTATGGACATTATCTTTGCCACCATTTCTTAGCTCAGG